GACGATTGCTATTCTTCTTTAAGCCCCAACGTTCTTGAGACTCTTGTTCACGGTTCCCAGCCATCGAGATGATGGTGCCCAAATACTGGAACTGCGAGACTTCCTCGATGGTGCTGTTTTAAGGGACAACGCTCTATAGTACCATCTGGGTTGCTCATCGCTTTTATCTTTGCAGCGTTGATCTGAAGTTTTGAGCATACTACTTCACGAAGCCAGCGGATGCCGTCGTCACTGTCGTCCAATAAGACTATGTAATCTGCATCGTTCAATTCAGTCTGGTACTGCGCTGGGTGCCTCGAGCTTTGTATCCGTTCCAACAAGCAGGCGTTTACCAGGTGCCGTTGAGCATTTTTTCGTAGGACGTGGTCTACCATTATACTGAGGTGTAAGTGAAAGTAACGGCGCCCCGTGCATGACCCCGACTTTGATATCGAACCAGTCCGAAATCTGGTCGCTCCATTTTCTCAGTGCTGATCGTCCCATCTTAATTCTTTCCATAATGGCAGCAACATTCTATGGAATGTCGAAATTGCGTATGACTTTTCACATTGTTTGGCGGTGAATGGAATCAAACCCTTCACGAAAATCGATATTCAGTGGAACTGAAAGTGACAGCATTCCTCAATGATCCGCTAGTAGAGCGAATAAGTGGTATGTTTGCTAATGATTCGTTTAAAGTCCTGCCTAGCTTACTTGGAGGTTCCTTTTGACGCTCGGTCGTAGCCGTTCTAGGATGACTATGGAGAATTGACCTTTCCCGATGTCGACAAGGGTAATTCTGCGATAGTTCGACCAACAGTTATTGTCTCGGCTGATCACTTTGATCAGGATCATGACTTCCTTCTTCCAGTAATCGGGCTGTTTCTTCTCCGTCCACAGGCGCCAACCGATTTTTTCGAGTTTGAACAACTCCTTTCCTCGCCACCACACTTTTTTCCGGTGCTGTGAACTTCTTTTAGTAATAATGAGAATGGAAGAGGGTTAGGAGTTAGGCCTAGTTAGCGTTATTAAGCAGGTTGCAGACTAGCTGATAAGAAACGATGGCAGTTTTAAAATATTTCGTTTTATCATGGCCAGTTGACCGATCGGTACTTGCATGAGCCTGAAGTCCATCAACAAACTTATTTAAGTTTTACGCTTAAGTCTTAATATAACGGATGCTTGTTTTGGCAAGAAGCAAAGAACAGTACTAGATTTCACTTACATCATAACATAGATTTATGTAAGTCAGAAATATCTTTGAGACTGGTGCATGTACCGATACGCGATCGAGTTCCGTATAAATTTTTTTTCTGTATCTGTAGTTTTTCATGGTACGTTTGAAACGGAATTTGGAAAAATTTAAAAGACTCGATGAGACTGGATTTTGGACAAATCTGAATAGTATCCCATGTTGTGTACTTGCTACCTTTTGCGGTTTCGAACGTCCGTCTGGATGTTTAGCGAGCGTGGGTGTGGTGGGATTTGCTTCAGTGAACCCGTGCATGCTGCGGTAGAAGTCATCATTCCACTGCCCAGCCTTTAATCAGTAGTTGATTGTCCAGTTGTCGGCACAAGAAGGATGCAGCGGCATCTGCAGAGTTGTTCGTTGCGCAATCAACTTGACATAAAACGTGGCAGAGTCTACTGTAGAGACGAGCGTGATTTTGTGGCCGTCTTCTGTTTCGAGATTTTAGCGTTTCACTGCCACACGCAGTGAAACCTTGTTTTACGTGTAGTTGTTAGTTTTGTTTTAGTTTTGAGCAGTCTTTGAGGACTCGTGCTCACTTGTATCTTTTTCTTCTCACCTATGTCGTATACGGTATGTGTGTATTACGACGAAGATTTGGTTTAGAATGCGAATGCAACCCAATCGGCTCGGCTACCCTTCAATGTCATCGAAACAACGGCACCTGCATCTGCATGCCCGGCTCCGGTGGAATACACTGCGACCGTTGCGATCGGGGACACACCGGCACGTGGCCGTACTGCGAGCCATGCGGCGAGTGCTTCCAGAACTGGGACCAGATATTGTTTAAGCTTAAAGGTAGGTGGCGGTGTCTACGTGGTCTTGTTTAATTTAAATTAATTTTTGCGTATTGAGAGGAAACACAATGCCTGATTGATGACGCAAGCAAGGTTGAAGACACGGGAGTTTCTTCGGTGTACGATGGCGATTTTAAGCTGTTAGAGAAGCAGCTTAGCGACATGAGGGCGTCGATTGGCCGTGCGAATCTGTCGCAGGCAGACATTGGCAGTTTACAGCAGAACGCGACGAGATTTGAGTAGGCGTTTCAGAGAATGTTTTCGTTGGCCATCTGAGCCACGTGTTCTACGATTGCTTTTCTTCAGGTCACGACTGGAGATGGTGCGGTCGAAGCTGAACACGATCGACCACGGCATATCAGAGATCGACGCGAATATTGACAGCTCCGAGGAACACCTGAACAGTCTCATAAAACAAACGGCCGAGTTGAAGTCGTCGATCAGCGAACTGGAGCAGAACGCGACGCGACTTCGCGAGGCGGACGCCGAGGGTGCTTATAACGTCACCAAGGAAGCGGCCGAGGTGTCCCTACAGGCGCAGCAGAAGGCTGAGGCGACCGAGCAGTTGATCGCTCAGGCGGAAGCCGCTAGCCAGCAGACCACGAAGCTGTTGAACGCCAATGCCCAGGATTTCGACGAACAGTTCAGACAGAACCAGGCGGTGCTGGACGAACTGGAAGAAAAGGCACGTAGCCTGGAGACGAAAATCCCGGATCTGAACATGATGGTGTGTGGCGCCAAAGGTGATCCGTGCGATGACCTCTGCGGTGGTGCCGGATGCGGCAAGTGCGGCGGCCCGTCCTGCCAAGAAGGTACTGCAGCAGTTCGTAGCCGTCGGTCGGTCCAGCGCCACTATCGTTGACATATTTCAGGAGCTGTTACCAAGTCTGATCAAGCGCTAACATTTTCCAACGAGGCCAGCGAGAAGTTGAAGGCTAAACAGCAGAAAGCTCACGAAATGATAGAGAAACTAAGCGAGGCACAGTCACACAGCGAGGTTGCATTGTTGGACGCTCGACAGGCATACGAGACGGCAGTGCGCGTAGCCCAGGGGGCTAACGAGAGCCGGTCGGCTTTGACCGCGTTGTTGGAGCGCACCGAGAGGTTCAAACAAGCGAAGGGTGCCAGCCCCGACGAGATTCGCGCCTTAGCGCAAGAGGTGCTCGACACCACCATATCGCTCAACCCCGAGCAAATCCAGGAGTTGGCCCGCAACATCAGCGAGACCCTTTCAAAGTTGACGAACATCAACGCGATCCTGGCTGAAACGCACAGCAACCTGGCGCACGCCCAGAAACTGAAAGATCGTGCTGACCAGGCAAAGTACGATCAGCCGTCCCGTTCATTTGTCGTTTTACTTTAGTGGGCTCAACTCCAAATCATTCACCAGGCACTCGTACCTTTTTTTCCAACCCATTTTAAACCTGAAATATCAACCACTTATCCCATTAATTTCAGCTTGAAATCAGTGATAGTAAAAATCAGTGACGAAATATTA